CGCTGTTGAAACTGATCAGTTTCAGCAGCGGCTGAATCTGGATGCCAGTTCCAACTTACATACAGATTCAACTTAAGAACAAACCTACAGTCCCTATCTTGTACGTAACCCGGGGACTGTCTGTATATATAATAATGATGGTAACGTTGTTTTGCTGAGTTGAAAACAATATGTCCATTTCAACAATGCCAGTGTTCAAGCAAATTTTTTAATATATTTTTTACACGCCCTTTGTTTCCAGTTACAGCACATGCATTAGGTAGTCGTTTGGGTTGAAATGTTTAAAATAAGGATCTACTTCCTCTGAGAAGTGTAAGGTAAATTTAAGAATAGCAGAAAACAACTGCTATCTGCTAAAGGAGAAATGATAGATCTATGGGTAACATACTGAGAAAATTACTAGGAAGACTTGGAATCTTCTGATGTTTTTGTCTTTGTATTATAATGCCTTAACTACTGATGGGAGTGTATGACTGCATATTTACTGGTAATTGGATGGGTGACCTCTCTCTAAGTCTTTCAGGAGCCTTTTAAAGAATCATTTGCTTAATAGCCTGTTTGAAAATCCTTTTCTTAAACCTTGAGCACAAATAAATAAATTCTTAAGCATTTTGTTCAACATGTACATAAAATTGCAAATAATTCATCACCATATTCTAATGTAGAATACAACTCCAAGAATGTATGCCATTTATTTAGGATTTTTGTGACCATTTGTGTAGCTTAGATTCCCTTCAACTCTAAAGGAAAAGATTATTGGATAGTCTGGTTGTTTGTAAAATGTTTCTTAAAATTAGGAATTTTTGTAAGCAACCAGCCCATCTTTACAATCACATATCTAGCTATATTTGGTTAAACAAATCTGCAGAAAAAGATCTGCAGTAAAACTCCAGTTGTCCGGCATCCTGTGGTCCGGCACTCCTGATAGTCCGGCACCACCTGGAACCCGGAAGTGCTCCAGGCAGCCAGACAATTGGAGCTGCTCTGCCCCGGGCTTCCTGAAGTCAGCCGCTGGTCAGTTTCAGCAGCGGCTGACTTGGGGACACCTGGGACAGAGCAGCTGGGGTGCTGCCGGATTGGTCCCGCAGCGCTGCCCCCCTCCCGGCCCCCCCACCCCACCTCAGACACCTCTTAGCCCCCCCTTCTGATAGTCCGGCATATTTGATAATCTGGCACCCCCTGGGTCCTAAAGGTGCTGGATTATTGGAAGTTTACTTTACTTAGTTTAATGAGGACTATGTAAAGTAGTGCTGTTGCTTCTGTTTGTTTAAAGATGAGGGAAGAAAGTGTAAGATCAGTACCACTTTTGGCAATTTAATTTCCAAATGGTGTGAATGTTTTGTATGTCTGAATTGCCAACACGCTATTGGTAGATAATAGCTAACTATTTTAAGAAAATGGACAATGGAACTTATCAATAAGGTAATTATTATAATATTCTTTTGACCAGTACTTTTAACGTCAAATTTTACAATGAAAACCCAGAGTAATTCCATTGATTAAATGGGAGAGAGTATTTTTCAATTAAACTGATTTGTATTTGCATCAGTGAAATGGAGAGAAAAAATTAGCTCTCACTTTTTAGTAACTGCTCTTTTGGCTAAGGAAGACTTAATGCGACAGCTGGGGAAATCAGCAAGTGTATGTTGTGCTTTAAGAAGAAATGTAAATCTCAGGTTTTCCTTTTTTTCCTCTATCTTTTGTTTATTATTATTATTATAGCAACTGTAAGCATTAATCATGGACCAGGATACCATTGTGCTATGCACTGTGCAAACACAGAAAAAATATAGTATATTATAGTTTATTAAATAAAATTTGAGGAACAAATGGGACCAAAGTTTGGATTCTGTTTGTTGGAGTGGATCCAAGCTCTCTGAAAGGACTTCACACCATTTAGTAAATACAGGAAAATCTCGCTCTGCATCCACCGCAAATGGCAAAATTCATGAATATTGGGAGCTTCAGCTTGTGGCTCCTGTGGTGAGCGCCCTGTGGCTCCCAAACTCGCCATGGGAGTTAGGAGCCATGGAGAACCCATGTTCCCCATGGCTCTTGGCAGTGAGTTTCCCACAGCTCTCTGTCCCTGCTCCCACCAGGCAGGGACAGGAGACCTGCAAATACGCATAGCCACTAATAGTGAAGGTCTCCTGTACCTCTTCATTACTCCAAACATTTTTTTAAAAAACATACAGTTAGTGTGCTCTGTTATTGGCAACCAGTAAATCTTTGAATGTAGATATAATGTACTTAATACTGAATTCAGTGGCTGTATTGCTTTTCACATCTAATAGCATGTGTTGCAGGTTAGCAGCTGGAAGTTTTGTCTTCAAAAACAGCATGTTCAAACAAGCACATTTTATTCTTGCAACAAGGGACCATCTTTTTTGCTAAGTGTTTACTTGGTGCGGAGGACAATGGGGTTGTGGCCTTGGACTAGAACTCCTAGGTACTAGCATAATACAATTAATAAATAACTGGCCTAGAGAACACAACTCTTTGTCTGGCTAGAGTCTTTAAACTGTTTAAAAATAACCCATGACAAGTTCAGTTAGGCTCTGAGTTCTCAATCTCAAGCGATATAGTGTGGATCACATTTGAATAGCAGCACGCTCCCCTGCCTTTTTACAATCCCACAGATTCTTGTAGCACCAACAGCAATTGTTTTTGTAGAAGTATTTAAAGCTTTTTAACTTGTGCCCAGCACTCTTCGAGTACAGTCCTTATGTTAGGCCTTAGTTCCTCATGTGCCACTGACACATCGGGCAGTTGTTAATTGTGGTATTTTCCAGATGATGCCAGCACACTCAATATCCTATATCACTGTCTTCTGCCAGTTCTTCCCTGACCTTTCTTGCTTGTTCTTCCTCCCTCACTACTCAGTTCAGTGCTTGCTCACATGCCCTGGCCTAACTCCAGTCATAGTATCCAACTATTCATTGAAGCCCCTACTCAATCTTATAGCATAGTTGATGATATGCTTGCATATTTTGTGAACCACTTAGGCATTTCATTCATCACATCCTTCAGAATTCTTGGGTGTACATACTAGTTGATTCTGGTGACTCAACAGAAAAGTGAAAAGCAATACAGCCACTTACATTTATCTGTTTGCTCCAGAAATCTTTTAACACATCAATGTCTGATAGATCTGAGATTGTAGAGAAACAGACATTATTTTCAGGATGAGAAACTGTGTTCCGTTCAAAACATTCACATATGGTTTGGGGTTTTTGACATAGTAGCACATAAAAATGCATTCTCTGCAATAATTACACTGGTATTGTCATATATGACTAGTAATATCTGTTGATCTTTTCCAAATGCATTGAGATTGGATAATTTATTTCACACTTCAGGCAAATATGTTCTTTGTAGTGCTGTTGATTAATCGCAGTTAACTCACATGATTAACTCAAAAAATTACTTGCTATTAAAAATTAATCCCAGTTAATCACAGTTTTAATAGCAATGTTAAACAATAGAATACAAATTGAAATGTATTCAATACTTTTGGATCTTTTTCTACATTTTCAAATATATTGATTCCAGTTGCAACACAGAATACAGAGTGTACACTGCTCACTTTATATTTTTATTACAAATATTTGCGCTGTAACAATGATAAACAAAAGATAGTATTTTTCATTTCACCTCATACAAGTACAGCAGTGCAATCTCTTCATCATGAAAGTGCAACTTACAAATGCGGAGGGCTTTTTCTACATAACTGCACTCAGTAGTAAAACAGTGCAAAACTTTAGAGCCTACAAATCCACTCAGGCCTACTTCTTGTTCAGCAAATCATGAAGACAAACAAGTTTGTTTAATTTTATGGGAGTTAATGCTACCCACTTCTTATTTACACTGTCACCAGAAAGTAAGAACATACATTCACATGGGACTTTTGTAGTTGCCATTACAAGGTATTTATGTGCTCAATATGCTAAACATTCATGTTTGGGTCACCTTTCCAGAGGACATGCTTTGATGCTGATGTTGCTCATTTTAAAAAAATGTGTTTATTAAATTTTGACTGACTTCTTGGGGGGAGATTTGTATGTCTCTGGCTCTGTTTTATCTGAATTCTGCCATGTATTTCATATTATATTAATCTTGGATGATGACTTAGCATATGTTCCTTATAAGAACATTTCACTGCAGATATTACAAACCACAAAGTAGATACCAATCTATGATTTCTAGATAGTTATAGAATTCGACCCAAGGTTTAAGTCTGAAGTGCTTTCCAAAATCAGAGAGGAATGAAGTGTGAAACATACTTTTAGAAGTCTGAAAAGAGAAACTCTCTGATGCAGAAACTTCAGAACTCAAACACCCAAAAACCAAAATCAACCTTCTGCTGGTGGTATCTGATTTGGATGATGAAAATGAACATATATCGGTCTGCACTGCTTTGGATTGTTATTTAGCAGAACCCATTATCAGCATGGACACGTCCTCTGGAATTGTGGTTGAACGATGAAGAGACATGAATCTTTAGGGCATCTGCCATTTTATTATCTTGAAATGTGTACAATAATCCCAACTGAATACTTGTTTTTACTTTCAGGTGACACTGTAAACAAGAAGTGGGCAACATTATCTCCTGCAAAGGTAAACAAACTTGTTTGTCTGAGGAATTGGCTGAACAAGAAATAGGACTGAGTGGTCTTGTAGGCTCTAAAATGTTGTATTTTATTTTTGAATGCAGTTATTTTTGTGCCTAAAAAACTGATAAATTCAACTTGCATGATAAAGAGGTTGCATTAGAGTACTTGTACTATATCAATTGAAAAATATTATTTCTTTTACTTTCTTACAGCGCAAATACTTGTAATAAAAAAGTTAGCATTGTACACTTTGTAACAGTCCATGCACTCACCAGCATGGTGCCTCCCACTGGTCACTCCGAGAATTAGCTCAGCTCAGTTCTAGAGTGACTTCTTACCCATTGTAACCTGCCTGCTGTCTGGCCTGTAACCTGTTGTCCATTCTCCATTGCCTTGTATCAGGACCATGGAGCTCTTCCCTCAAGGTACTGCCTTGCCAGAGGCATTTTCAGGGAACCCCCCATTCCTTATACCCACCTTGCCTCAGTGACCCTACTGCTAGTCATCACTAATCCCTTATCTCAGGAGCAAACTGCAGTGTGAAATGGCCACTCATCAATGGCAAGGGTGTGTGGACCTGCTTCCTTCACCTGCTCTGGTTGCCTCCCTGCAGCCCTAGTACCCTTTGTCCCCCTGTTGCTAGGCCTTAGCCTGGGATTACTCAGGCTGGAGCTCCTCTGGCTCACCCTGTCTTTACCCAGCATTGATCTGTTGATGGTACCTACACTAGCAAGCAGCGAGATCCTTCTCCCTCCAAAGCCAGAGCAAAAGTGTCTCTCCTCCTGTCTGGGAGCCCCTATTTATACTAGACCAGCTGGGCCCTATTTGGCAGGTATTGGCCTCAGCTGCTTGCTCCACAGTCTCAGCCCTTTGCCAGGACTGGGTTTTAACCCTTGTTTCAACTGGAGTGGGGTGACTGCCCCCTACAGTGTCGCAATTGAAATCAACCTATTTGAAAATGTAGAAAACATCAAAATATTTTTAAATAAATAGTATTCTATTGTTTAACAGTGTGATTAATCATGATTAATTGTCTTAATCACTTGATAGCCCTAGATCATTGTTAATATGCAGAGGAAAGTTTTCCTACTTTCTCTTACAGGATGAATTTTACATTTATACTTAAACTAAAACCTGAAGAAAATGTCCTTTAATATTCCTTATCATATTTTTTTGCTGAGTCAGTTTTCAGTGTTGGTTAATATATTTATTTGTATTATAGTCTATGGATATGATTTTTCTTATTAATTGTATTAACATAAGCGACACTCTTGAATAGGAGCTGGTGGCTTTAAAATTGACTTACTTATTTTAAAATTGCATATGACTTCTTGTAGAAAACAGCCGTACTTTTCAGCACAGGAGCTGTCTGATATCTCTCTAGTGCTTTTTTTTTTTCTGGTGAAATATTCTATTTAATGAAGGTGAACACAGTTCTGTAACAAAAATCTCCATCAAAAGTTAATATAAAGTCTCCAACTGCATAAAAAGAAAACTGATATCATAGTTGTGGTTTTTTGTTTTGCTGTGGTTAAGGTTCTGTCAGTATTTCTATGATAAGAGATTTAGGGGCTTAGTCTAAATATAAAAAATCACTACCAAATCTTGCTTATGACATTTCTAGTGAAGGAGGAAAGATTTGTATAAATTAAAATAAATGTTAGTTGAGCTCATAACTACAGAACCAGTAGAAGTGAACTTGTTGATTCTTTGTATATTTACAGGAGATAAATATCTTTAATTTATAAATAAAAATCTGATCCTGTCATCCTTAGGCAAAGCTACTCTGAAATAAAAACTTTGACTCAGTAAGGAATGTCAGTTTGGGCACTGAATGTATTGGTGGATTTGTATAGCTATAAGTTCTAAATGCTTTCTGTATGGGCAAAAGATTTGAGTAAGACTTTCACAAGTGTCCTTTTTCTATTTCTTTAAAATTACATTTTATTTTAAAGAGATGTTTTTAAAAACAAGACAGTTTGGTATTGTAAACAAATTCTGGCTTTCTAACTCCTTAAGCCAACTCCTCTTTTAAATAGTTGCAAGTCACCGTCCAGTAATGTTAGTCTCCTGGCTCAGTTCACTAGACAGTAGCATAACTATGTCATGTAAGTAGTTTTACTGGCAGAATTATAAACGTCAGCTCAGGTGCAGCCCGGGAGATAGTGTCATAAGAACTTTGGTTTGGCATTGTTGTAAGTTTCTGGTAAGCAGTCTCTTAAAGATCATATTGCTCACACATGTCTGGTGCAAACAGCCATGCTCCGTGTTCTCATGCAAATGGCTTCTCTTTTGTAGTTGCACAACAGGAAATCTGAACTGTTATGAGTTCTTTAGATTACTAATTACCACTTACTTTGTGATTTTATGGAACTAAAACATTTTAACTTAGCTCAACACTTAGGTATCAGTAAATGTAAGATTTTAAACTAGACTAAGCTATTTTTTAGTGTTAAATTGTTTCTTCCATATTTATGGTAGACTATATATAATCATTCCTGGATGATCAGTGTCACTTAAAATTTTCCTTATTGAGCTGTCTATCTCTGTCTTGTATTTGAAAATGAGCCTGTCGGCTATGTAGGCCTTTAAATATGGTGAGTCAGCAGATGGTTAATTCACCATATAAGAACCCAAAACAGAAAGTCTCTTGACTTTGTAATTCTCAGTATTTTTCAGTTAGGATGTATTTTCTAAAAATAAAAGGTGCACCTGAAAACACTTCACTATCACCCTCACCAAAAAGAGACTTCCTGTTCAAAGAATAACATGCTGTTTCCCAGCCAAAAAGAAAAAATATTTGCCTTATGAATATTAATTTTTCATATGCAAATTGTGACTGTTCAGATAAATGAATTGATCTGTTAGTAGATTCTTCTCAAATCCTTTTGCAAGTGAAATAGTTAACTCTGCCATACCGATAGTATTTTAATACTTGGGTAACACAGTTTCTGTCAATGTGCATACATTGTACAAACTACCATGATAGTTTCTCAGCGGGTACATCTACTCTGCATACAGTAGAGTCCTGATTATCCGACCTAAAAGGGACCGACAGGTGGTCGGATTACTGAAAATGTTGGATGATTGGGACTCTACTGTAGCCAACGCCACTTGGTCCCCATCCCTGCCTGGCCGTGGCCCCTTCTCTCCCTGCAGCTCCCAGGCACGGGCCGGGAGAATGGCCCCGCTCGCTGCCCCATCGCTCTCCTGGAGCCGCTGATGCCGCTCCTGCCGGCGCCGCTTCATTCCCGGGTGCTGCAGGGAGGGGACAAAGCGGCACCAGCAAGAGCGGCATCAGCGACTCCAGGAGAGCAACGGGGCAGCGAGCGGGGCCATTCTTCTGGCCCACGCCCTGGAGCTGCTGATGCCGCTTCTGCCAGCGCCGCTTTATCCCCAGGAGCTGCAGGGTCAGATAAAGCGGAATGTCGGATTACCGAAGGTTGGATAATCCGGACTCTACTGTACTTATTTTGAAATAAGCTATTCCAAAATAAATACTCCAAAATAGCTTATTTTGAAATAGCACAGCTACACTACAGGTAAGCTTCAAAATTACTCCGAGGCACGCTTCTCTAATGTGGACATGCTACCTTGATTTAGAGCCCTGGGAGGCATTGGGGAGTAATTACTCAGAATGGCCCTGGGGAGGAGCTATTTCCAAATAGCAGCAGTGGAACATCCATACTACTGCTATTCCAAAATAGCTATTTCGGAGTAGGCATTATTCTTCATAGAATGAGGTTTACAGAAGTCGGAATAAGCCGTCCATTATTTCAAATTTATTTTGAAATAATGGAATTGCTGTGTAGACGGTCGCATTGTTATTTTGGAATAATGGCCATTATTCCGAAATAACACTGCTGTGTAGAGGCACCCAGATTGTACTGGTGGTTTATTTTAATCTATTATATACTTTATAAAGTTTGTCTGTCTGTCTGTTTGATCAAGAACTCCTCCTAGACAGTAAGAGCTAGTGCCACCAAATTCAGTATACAGCTTCCTCTTATCATAACTTAAAAGCATCGTAAGGGTTTGGTTGTGGATTCGCCTGGGATGGGATTGCTTCTCATAAAACTAATCAGAATAGAGACAAAATCACCAAACCAAGTTCAGTTCTCAAAACTGACATAACTCAGCGAATGTTGAAAGAGACTAAACCAGAGGTAAAAGTAGGCCAGTGTGCCCTAGCGAGCTTCTTCAGCTGGGGCGCTCAGTTGCAGGAGGAGGAGATGCATGCTCTCAGCCTGCCTCCCCAGACACTGCTACAAGCTGCTGCACTAAGCAGCAGGCAGGTGAAGGGGCTGGCTGGAGGTGCATGCCCTCCACCCCCGTCCAGGACTGCCCCAACCCCAAGCTTCCCACCCCCAAGCAGGGCCGGCTTTAGGAAGTGTGGAGCCCAATTCGAACCACTTTGGCGGGGCCCCCCACCCAGGATTTTTTGTTGAGCAAAAAGAAAACCACCCACACAGCCATCCTATATTATGCAAAATTTTACACAAAATTAAATCAGTTGCCTTAAGTGTAGGTCAAATATTTTCAATTGCAAACTATCCAATTTTTTCAATAAAGTTTAAAGTTTGATTTTTAAAACGTTACCAGAGGGCGTTGCAGTTTTCTGTTACATTGATTTATTTTTTAAATAGCAAAAATGGAGTCTTTGTTAAGAAAGTGTCAATTCTGTGGTCAAATTCCAGGCCTTAGTGATTTCAGCACCAATGA